TTGTTCCGGCACAGTCTGATGTCAAATGCATGCGAAAAACGTTATATATAGCTTAAGGAACGAGCAGCGGAAGAATTGCGTAAAGAACGAGAAAGCAAATAAAGTCGACCAAATTTCGCCCGGCTTGGACAACTTTAACAAGTGCCTTGTGTAAGGAAATATTTCCTATGCCAAGTTGTAAACGAAAAATTCAAATCTCACCGCATAGGGGACAACAAATACAGGTAGCTGCAATGTGCTCGATGTATTTTCAAAGTCGCTCCATCCAAAGTGGCCGAACTCTGTGAACGAAAAAACCGGTATAGGTGTTTTGAACACTTCGAGATTGGGCGAGGTGCCGGGGCTGTTTTTCTAGCATTCCCGAAAGCATACCATGCTCAGAAATTTTATATAAACGAAATTCATGAACAGCACACAGATAGAATAGATGTATAAAACCAAATTTATCTGACAAGATGCAAGTCGCTGGAAATAGCAACCGTCGCAAGAGACACGGATGGAGGATTGGACGGATCAGAATCACCGAGTCATGCTAAATTTACATGCAAACTATGACAATAATATACCTGCGAGTTGCATTACGCAGACCGATTGGCACCGGAAACGAGCTTGCTTGCCAAATGGCAAATAATACGAGAGCATTTCTAACACCTACGGCATTCTTTCAATCAGGCAGCGTGTACAGAAAGATTGATGGCAACTACCATTGAAAAATATATTGGAAAATACCTGCAAACGAACGAATCTCGAAGATAAGCGAACAGCAAATCTGGAACAAATATGAGTGTACCAAATCAGAGTCAAATTATTTAAAGATGAGAGAGGAAGAGGCGTAATCTGATCGGCTGTTTCACGAATATGGCTTTGAGTTTAAATAGGAAAACACACCGGTATGCGATTTACACAAGCGAAACACAAAAATAGCGCACTTACTTCAACCGAAATCAACAGAGTGATATTCAGACGACTGGATGCGCAATCATAGATAGATACAATGGAAACCTCATTCATTCATTAAGGATACTAATACGATACTTCGTGTGATTAACTACTCAACATATATATATCCTCACTTCCTCCATGTTAACCTATTTTTTTGTTTACTCGTGTTCGGCAAGCTACATAGGCAGGACGATCAGGCAGTTTTCTCGAAGAATCAAGGAACACAAACCGCTTGGTTAAACACAAGAACCCCAAGGACCGTTTCGAGTGCAATCACAGTGCACCTCGTAGATATTGGACATCAGATAACCGAAGATGCGTTCAAAATCATCTACAACGTATCCCCAAACCCTCCGACAGCGCCATCTTGCCACAGCAGAGGCGGTAGCAATCAATTTTTTGCGACCAAATCTATGCTCACAGAGACAGTTTGTTAAAGCCCTACAGCTACCTTAGTCCAGACCCGACACTGGACGTCAATTCCTTCTCGTGACCCCTTGACTTGAGTGTGTGACCTCGTCCTTCTTGTTTCATTCCTCTTCCCCTCCCTCTCCTTTCTCTGCGCTCACGATTCCCTATTCCAAATCATGGATTAACAATTTTTGTTTTCACGTCTTTCTCAACCACTCCTCACCAGTTCCATACCGTCCAATCAACGCATATTCTTTCTGAGATTATTTGTTGCACGTTTGTTCACTAAATGTATTTAACTGTATCAGCCAGAGGATGAATTTACCGAACACGAGCTTGTTCGATACTCGTGTTGTTCTGTCGATGTCAAAATGGGAGTTTTCAGTGAATATATATATATATATATATATATATATATATCGTTTGACGAGTCCTGGTCTGGATCGAAACGTCACAATAAATACTATCACTCAGTGCTCGCCTTCTCCTTTTTAAAATATATATATTACACAATGTGAATTACAATAAAAGGGGAAATCTCCATGGACAAATAGCATACTGTAAAAGGTAAAGTAGGGGAACATTCAAGTAAGATCCAGTTTATTGATTCTGCGCTTAAAAAGTGTAAGATTGTAAATTGGAGGAAAACAGCAAGTGGGAGAGTGTTCCACCGTTTTGCAGTTCGGAGGAAAAAGGAGATTGGAGTAGAGGGACAGAAACCTGATAATGATGATTAGATGCCTTGTAAGAGATGGGCGGGTAAACTTTGCAGGAAGGGGAACTGCCGAGACAAGTTCCGAAGAACAAAAACCAAAGTAGTAGCGGTAAAACAGGGACAATGAAGCAACAGCCTGACGATGGGCTAGCGACTGCAGACTGGATGTTAGGGAAGGATCATCGATTAGCCGGATGGCCTTTCGTTGAGCACGATCAAGAAAGGAAACGGAAGAAGATGAAGTCCTACCCCACACGTGACTACAGTATTCAAGAGTAGGGTGAATTTGAGCTTTGTACAATAGAAGATGAGTTGGGGTGAAAAAACGTCTGGCTCGAAATAGAAATCCAACCTTGAGCGCAGCACGAGAAGCAAACTTATCTGTAAAAGAAGGCAGCATAAAGAAGAAGTTATAGGTAATCCAAGAAGGGAAACAAAGTCTGCGGAACTCATTTGGGTGGAATTAAAAGATAAATGGGGGGAGAACGAATGATAGTTTAAAGAAATTGAAAGAGAAGTTTTAGAACTATTGAATGAAGCGCGGTTTACAATACCCTAGGAGGAGATGTGTTTGAGATCGGAGTCCAGTGAAACATTAACTGCACTATGGTCATCATCGATGTTGGTTTGGGTATGGCCATCAGTGCGGTATGAGAGGGAGCAGTGGAGGGTGGTGTCATCAGCAAAAGAATAGATCGGGTTGACAGTTTGGGAAGAGAGATCATTGATAAATAGAAGAAACAGGGTGGGCGCAAGTACTGAACCTTGGGGAACACCAGCGTTCACAGGGAACGGCTGAGATAAGATCCCATCAACTCGGATGGAGATGGTTCGCGTACTGAGGAAACTTGATATCTACGCTGCCAGCGCCGGAGGGAACTCGAACACGGGTAGTTTCGCCAGAAGACCTTCGCGCCTCCAAAAGCCTCAGTATGGTCGGGGGTGGGTGTCTAGGGTTGCGCCTGGTTACCCTTCCCTTACACCTCGCGAAATGCTCCCATACGACCAAGCGTCTCGAATAGCCTCTGCTGAGTAAGCCCTACTCACTGTCTTATCGTGGCGCAGGTGTTTTCCCACCAAAGTGAGAGGACGAAAAGCAGATATCCGGGTTGGCGGATCATTGGTAATTCACCTAGGGGAGTTGGCCGAAAACCCTGATTCCAAACCAACCATGAGGAGGCGTGCGAACCACACACACAACTTCCTGGTTGTGGCAGTGGTCATTGGCTCGATTGGGCACCTTGGACGTGTGACCCCATCCGAAGGGCGTATGATCCGATGAACTGGACACCGGCTCCCAATAGATTGCGGTTTTCGTACACCGCCTCGCTACCTTGCGGGTCAGGGTTTGGCTAGCCAAAGGCTACCGTTGTGGATTCTTCAGGCAACATCGCCTGCCTTGACCTGGGCAACATGGCAGTTTTCCGTCCACATGCAATTCATGGAACGCTTTTCTCTTTTATAAAGATTATTGTACCATGATTTGTTTGGCACAGTCTGGATTCAGACGTGTGTGAAAAATATATATATAAATATATAGGCCTCCGTGCCAAACTCGGTCGAAGGCCATTGAGATGTCAAACGAGACCAAGTGTGTTTCTCCGTGTTTACCGAGTGGAGCTGACCAGGTTGGTGAGACCAGAGTCAGCAAGTCATTGGTGAAACGACGCGGCCGAAAGCCATACTGGCGGTCGCTCAGTAGTCTTTCACGTTCAAAGAACGTGCGTAGCTGGTCAGAGATGAAATACTTACGGAAGACTAGATGTGAGGGAAATGGGTCGATAATTGTTGGGGTCAGAAAGGTAGCCGCGTTTGGGAAGAGGAAAAATCACGGCGTGTTTCCAGGGGATTGGAAACGAAGAAAGTTGGAGGGAAAGACTGAAAAGACGATGCAAAATAGGAGCCAGCGCGGGAGCACATATTTTGGGGACGATGGGTGGAGTACTGTCCGGACCGGGTGGTTTGTTTGCGTTTAGAGAGCGCAATGTTTGACGGAAGTTCCTAGTGCTGATATAAGGTAGAAAGGGATTGTCATTGAAGAAGGATGAAGGTGAATGTGTAGAAAACTGGGGTAAGGTGGAATTGGCGGCAAACCGGGAAGCAAAAACCTCGGATTTCTCGGGTGGTTGACATACAAGATCACCCGAGGAATTACAGTTAAGAGGAAGTTAGGACAGAAATTACGGGAAATTGCTTCGGAGAGGGACCAGAATGTTCGGCTACCGGTGCAGGACAAGTCTAAGTTTTCGGCTTTACGGCAAACGAAGCGTTCTTTGGTTCCCTGAATGTTCGTCGAGCACCTGTTCCTAACTTGCACGAAGCGATGGTGGGAGAAGGGTGTGGGCAAGCGGCAGAAGGCTGAACGTTTTAGGCGTACAGCACGGTCACATGCATAGTTAAACCATTCAGGGGATCTGAGTTTGTCGGATTTGGAAAAGTGCGGAATAAAGAGATGCATATGTTGAAGAACGTCGGTGAAGTTGGAAACAGATATGGAAACATCAGAAGAGAAACAGCAGTCGGTTCAGCGATAAGCAGCTAGAAAATCACGGAAACCGTCCCGGTTGATTCAGTTTTAGCGCCAGAATGTGTGTATCGAGGTGGGTGGTGGGTCGAGGTTTGAAAACCTAATAGAATAAGAAACTATACAGTGATTTGATGAACTAAGAAGAGAGAAGGTACCAATATCTGAGAAGAAAGAAGGGGCCGAAGTGAGAATTAGATCGAGGGTGTGGGAACGATCGGGCAGCTCGATCAGGGACACGGGTGGGGAGGTCAACTAGTTGGCTCAGGTTGTTGACCAACGAGAAGTGTTCCGCGTCGCGCCCCAAAGAAGAAGTAGCAGATGAATGTGTCAACCAGTCCTGATTGTGAACGTTAAACTCTCCCAAGATGGTAACATGGCAGTTGAGATCAATTGAAAACAAGTGTTCAATGTATGGTACAGAACACCAAATTAATGATCAAAGGAAGGAAGTCTGAGCTTCAGCCACATCAGCTGAAATTCACGATTGGAAAAGTCAAGATTTGGAATCCTGGAGGTGGTGACTGATTGGTGAATAAAGGCGCAAACACCAGCTTTAGTTAGAAAGGAGGAATGGTGAGTGTAGTTGGGGAATTGAAGGTGGGTGATGTTTGACGAGGGGGAGATTGGTGTTTCGGTAAAAAAGGACGAACGGAGAAGAATAGAGAAAATGGTGTGCAGAATTAATATTGCGGTTCAGTCCACGAATGTTTGTGAGGGTGGTGAGTACATGATTCCTGTGTGAGTGCGTAGAGGAAGTGAGAGAACATGAGCGTTTGTGATTTTGTACTATCATCTCCACGAAGAGACCAGTCCCTCAGATCCTAAAGGGCATCTGGGTCGTGAACAAAATCAATCAACTATCTTCCTTGCAGATGGCACAGGAAGTCACATGTTACTGCGACAACTGATGCCCGCTGGTCTACACTGCTCCCCGTGATTATTCAAATTTCACTTACGGATTTTAGCCGTCAACCATAGTTTTTCAGCCACCACCATTGTGTGGTACTTTTTTCACTGACGAGCACAATTGGACATCCTAACAACCGGTGTACTTTCGTCAGATCGGAAAGGGCATTTTTCTTACATTTGGCGGAAAACAACCCAGAAAAGGGACATGTTTGTCCGTCAAAACGACCACTGAACAAAACAAGTCCCGATGGAAAACGGAGTGCGCACGTCTATAGCAGTCTGCGTATGTGCAAATGGAAGGAAATTTCAACAGTTTGACAGCAACTAAGGCTAAAATCTACGCACTAAGGCTAACTGCAGGTGACTGAGTTTTACATTCAGATGGAACGATAAATTTTATCTAGTAGATCTATTGTGATGTGTTCAGATTTGAAAAGAAATATGCATAATGCCATGATAAAAGTAGTAACCTGAGTCCTGCAGATTGCACTTCATTAACATTCAGTCTTTGTGTATCGAGTAATTCGGAGTTCACTACCTGTGGTTTCGACAGGATCCAGGTTAAAATTAAAATCACTCCTGTTCCAACTATTTCAATAAGTGCGTTTGATGAAACGGTTGTTGTCTTCCGAATCTAGTGGTTAACGCCTAAGTCGACCGAGATGTTTCCTGGAATTTCTAAACACGGCTCAACTGGATTATGTTCGCGTAGACGATCAAAATCACATAGTAGGGCAAGAAAAGACCGCAAATTTTCTGAAGCATAACCATGCGGTTAGAGTTACCTAGAAAAACAACTGCAGCATGAGATTTGACAAGAGCACAATTTGACACAAAACAGAATGCGACCTACCCTTGCGATAATTTGTCGTGAAATCATCGACATAATGACCAACTTGTTGCTGAAACAGGATGTGGACGATAGAAAAACACTGATTGCTCTGAACAGATAACAGAAAAAAACATCAGAGATTAGGAACAATAACGCGAGTGACGGAAAGACATCACAAGAGTTCAACACTCAGTAGACTGGGTAATAAGAAATATTGTCTGATTTTTTTTAAATTCTGTTTGTAAAACATAGTCGATCATCGTGAAATTGGAAGAAGAATTAGGTTCAGCCTAGATTTAAGCACTTTTATTGTTGCTTAGGTCAATAGTGTCTAATGGTGACTAATCAGAGATGGACGAAACAATAAATCTAGCCGATGAAAGGTGATATCGAGTAAGGACAATAGAATTCAAGACGAAAATGAATGGGGATATTAGCTGCATGGACTTTGTCAGCTCAGAGATAGATAAAGATAAAGTAAACGAAACTAACACTTCAAGGTCAAATTGGGATTAAGAATGTGGTAGAAAAGTACTGAGCCATTGATAACATTACGGAATAACTCACCCATTACGGNCGGCCGCCGTTTCGAGGTACCTGATGAGCGTTGGTTGCGATTCTTTGACGTTTCGATGTATCTTGTTGTTGCTGGCCATCTGCATTCGCGTTTGGTACACCCTCCATTCCGGCTTGATAAGGCAATCGCCATTGAAGTCTGCGTCCGTTCCGGATACAATTCTCAACGGAAAACGGATTCGGTGACAGCCAGGAGCGAATCCAGGAGTGAAGTCCGCGTAGATTGTATGTGCGTGTCGTCTGTAGAGAAGAAAAAAGAGAACTTAATACAGTCCTTGCCATCAGACGATTTAATCCTCAGGGCTATTTTCAACCAACTAGATGAGCAGGAATCAACTGTACTCGGTTTCATTTCCTACTCAGGCAACTGAGAGGCTAATAACGATAGCGCAGTAAACC